CACAAGGTACAAGGTGGATGAAAGGGGGGTAACGGCACCCAACTACGCGAAGGAAAAGAAGTAACTCAAGGGGAATTGGGGTAAGATAAGAAAAACCAGGACAAGGAAATACATCGAATCACATAACCGGGTATACCTTCTTCCTCTGCCACGGCTCATGTCATGACGAGCATACGGCAGATAGAACAGGCGGGCCATCCGAAAGGAATAATACAAACGCTCCCAGACATCAAAATCGCAACATGAATACCAGACACAGGACATGATGGGGCATCAACATGACATCAAACATAAGACATAACATCAGACATAAACAAAGGTCATGCAGGTCATCAGAATCATACAATCATGTCGCCATGATGGACGTGATCGGTGAAACCCGCCTCTCTTCTTTATAACACCCGAGACCAAAAACCAAGTCGTAAACCATACCAATGCAATAAATAGCCTCCCATGGCAAAGCAGAGCTCTTTTTTCCCAAAACGAACCTTCCAACTTTTTCAAGAACCAGGGCAGAACGGACCAGTTGTCCATTTGGTATTGTGATGGTTCAGAGGTCCGCCGCATAATGATCGCCCAATTAAAGACAGAAGAACTTTTAGCAAACAGTGCTCCTTGCTCCGAAAGTCTAACCGATGAAGTGCGTGAGGTGCAAGAGACAAAACATGGATCAGAAGAAATACTAGGACAGGTAGAGAGCGATATCCCCAGGTCATCATGGTCGTCAAGCACAACTAGTATCGACCGCCGTAGGTCGATCGACTAGAGCGTCGACTGGCACGATCTGACTTGCGATCACTCCGTACCCGCCGGGCATCTTCAATTTCCCTCACCCGCCGGGCATCTTCAATCTCCCTCACCCGCCGGGAATCTTCGATCTCCCTTACCCGTCGGGCATCTTCGAGTTCCCTTCGACTATGAGCCACGCTGCCAGTGTACTCCGATCCATTGGTCAAATACTTTTTCGGTCGCTGCTTGCCTTCGATGTTTAGCTCGACCGCCCCAGTTTCGCCTGTCCGGACACTGATCTTCTTTCCACCATCCTGAGGGAAACTCATCGTGACCCCGTTTAGCGTCATGACGATGTTGTTGTCCTCTTCCGGCTTGGACCCAGCGTTACTACCGCTCTGCGTGCGGGCATCGCTGCCACGGCTGCTGCGACTCTTCTGGCTGCCACTGTCGCTCTCGGCGCGCTGGGAGGACTTGGCCTTGAAGAGAGCATCTGCCGTCAACGGCACGGGTGGTGCCGGAGGCACTGGTGGCTTCGCTGTGCGGGTAGCTTGGTACTCCTCCGCCTCGCGATGCTTCTCATCCATCTCATCATCCTCTTCCTCGTCCTCGTCGTCGTCTTCATCGTCATCATCGGGGAAGTCGTAGATAGTTGGCTGACGGCGACGAGAGTTCTCCACGGCAATCCGCGAGGGTCTAGCAGATTCGTGATATGCTGTAGGGCGCCGGTAGCTGCGGCTTCGCGCCGGCACGACCGTCTCCCGGGAGGAGCGGCGGTAGCCGTAGCCGTCAGGCAAAGCATCCTTCATATCAGCCATATCAAAGGACCGAGCAGAGTGCCGATCGGACGTGACGGAGGGTGCCGATACATTTTTACGCGGCTCTGGGCGTTTCTGGATGATCTGCGGGGTGTTCTTGTGCTTGAGCGGTGGCCGGCGATAGTAGTCCTCGTCGCGATCATGGGAAGAATGAGAGGGAAGGCGGGGTCGAGGCTCCCGAGGCGGTGGTGGCGGCGCAGGAGGGGCAGCATCCAAAGGCTCGTCGTCATCGAAAGCAGCTGAGGCAGAGTCGTAATCAACCACAGGCGCACCATAAACAGACGGGCGCCGCCCCCGCCCATCCCGCGTGCTGGAAACCGATCGCTCCTGCCGATGCTCGGAAGGGGCACCGTAGTCGGACATGCCGCTGTAATAGGGCGACTGTTGCGAGTAATGCGAGGGCGCATACGAGGAGGGGTTGTAGGCGTACGCTGACGAGGACGGCGGGGGCCCATGTTCGTAGCGGCTCATGCTGGAGGGTTGGTACACCATCTGTCCCATTCCAGGCAGCATGCCATGGAAGCTCACCGGTCGGTTGTTGGGATGGTAGATGGGACCCCCGCCACGGGCGGAGGGGCGGCTGGAGCGGGACACATGAATGTCCTGGACCGGGTTGGGAGCGTACCGGGGGTCCCCGCGTGGTGAAGGGGGAGGAGGATAGTCGTGAGCCGATGAGGGAGGCTGCGACATGTAGTAAGGATAGTCCATGGATGGTCGGCTGTCGACTGGAGTTGAAGAAGCATGGTACAAGCCCTGATCACACTCCCAGCAGGTGCCTGGGTAGTGGCGCATCTGCGAAGTCTCACGGCGACGAGGCCTTGAGGGAGACCGCTGAGCGTGGGCAGGAGCATGGCTCACGCCGTTGGGATAGGCGCCGACCTGCATTTTGTCCTCACGAGGGGGACGAACGATCCGAGGTTTGGATTGTTCTCTGCTGCTTTTGGATCGAACGCGGCCAAGGTCAGCACGTTTGACGAGGGTGGTGTCTAATTTAAGAGGGACAGGACTCTTCCGGCCCGACGGCCCAGATTGGGTGCTGTTGACAGTGGCGGCGGTACGACTAGAATAGCCGGAGTCACTTGCAACGTCGACCAGGGGGGCTGCAGGCGATCTCAAGACAGGCTTGGAGCGCTTAGAAGTGAGGTTGGCGACTTGACGAGTGTCAGGAAGGATGACATGGGCATCTTCATCATATTCCTCACAAAAGGCGGCGTGAGGGACTTTTCCAGACATGACTTCTGGAAAGGCGGCCAAGGAAAGGCCCGACCCTAAGAGGGGAAGGGGGGGAACTGTGGGTGTGGGTTTGAGTGGAAAGGGGAGACACAGACAAGACAGACAGACAGGCGAGGGAGGGGAGAGGTTGGATTGATTGGGAAAGGGCTCGACAGTGTGCAGTGTGGATGACGTGAAACGTGGTGATCCAACAGGCTTTCAGGACTCCGGGTGGCCTACAGCAGCCACCAGCTGCTGCTCATGCGAATGACTCAACGAAGACAGACTTTTTTTTACTAGTCTTTCCTCTGTCTTTTTCTTTTTGTTAATTCTTTTCTCTTTCGTCCAGTGATAATTTAGTGGTGGTGCTGGACTGCTTCACCCTCTCCCCATTCAGCCCAGTGCCAGTGTCGGGGAATCCACTTCTGCGGTAGCCTCAACAAAGCAAACGAGACCGGCAGCAGATGGGCCAGAAAATAGTCAGGAGACGGTGCGTGTCTAGATCGGGGGTCAGCGACGAAGAGTGGATTCGTGGTGAAAATAGTCGTCGTCCACAGGCTGCACAGGCTCCATCGAAGAATAATGAAAAAGCAAATAAAAAAGAAAGGGAAAAAAAAGAGAAGGCGTCGGTTATGGTTGGTTTGGCGTGAGGAGGGTCAGCGGTGGAAACGAGACCGTATCTACTAGTAGAAAGTAGTCGGGCGGAAAGAGTGGACGGCGAGAGAGGAAGATGCAGGCGTGGGTCAAACCAAGTCAACCAACGGAGGAACGAAGCAGAAGAAGGGGAAAAAACGAGACAGAAGGAGGAGCGCGCGCGCCTGCAGTTGTAGTCTGGCAGACGGTGAGTGGAGGATGACCGGCAGAAAATGTCCACGGGCTGCAAGTCTCAATGCAGTCGGGCAGCGTGTAACCGAATAGACGGTTGGCGGGAAATTTTATTCAGTTTCTGGTTTGATTATATTTATCTTCTTTTTGTATCGTAAAATGGTTGGTATTTTGTTGTGGCGGTGGTGGTGGTAAAATGATAAGGTTGGTTTGTATGGTTTCAAACAGTAGTAGTAGAGTTTCTGTGGTCCCGTCGGGGCCTGACGAAGAGGGGGAGGGGAAAGAAAAAAAAATAGTGGATGTAGAAGGGAAAGAGAAGAGTGGATAACCGAGTGAATGGATGGAGGGGAAAAGAGAAGAGACCAGACAGAAGTGGGGTTGGAAGATGAACGGACTGCTTTTTGACTTGTGCTAAGAGTAATAATGGTGGGGATGGATTGGAGAGGAATGCCCGACAGAGAGTACAGAGTAGTAGATTGAATGGATGGATATAGCCTTTTTAATGAGTAAATCTGTCAGTCAGTCAGTCAGTCAGTCATCGTCGTCGGTCAGCTTTCATCCCATCATCCTTGGACCGGATCGGAACGAATCTCACGATGTGTCCCTACTCCGTTGTAGACTGGGAATCTAGATAAATTAAGAAAAGAAAAAAGTTGAAAGGGATCCATAATACTCTTGATTGTGTGGAAAACCAACAGACCCCGGATCGAATCAGATCCGAGGACGGATGCAAGGCGGAATTACCAGAATTCCAGATCGGATTCATTGAACTTGAAAAGTAAGAAAAGTAAGAAATGAAAGGAATGGAATACCACCACGCGCCAATCAAAGTTATCATCGTGACTCAACGCGAATATTCACCAGTTACTAGTACTTAACTATCTACCTACTACTACTACACCCAAGAGGATAATTTCCACTATGCTTTGAACCATACAAGTATTGACACCGTAACTGCACACGGAACATACTCTTCATCTTCAAACATCCCTGCTCTGTTGCTTTCCCTTCCATTCTCCCGAACCGTCTTGTTCTGCCTTTATGGACACTTCCCTGCTAGTGAGTGTTCATTTCCACCGTCCGGGTCTGTCAGCAACCGCATCGCGCCTCATCTCCATCCGAGGCATTCCTGGTTGGAAAAGAAGAAAGAGAGTCGGAACGATTCAAGTCGCAAGGAGGTGGGGATGCCACCCTGACTGGCTGCCGGTCGATGCCTGATCTGCCGCTAACTCACCCGGTATTACCGTTCGTTACCGTCCGTCAGGACTCTCTCCCGCGTTTACAATGAATAGAAGGCACCATGGCGGATTATCACCAGCGCGAGTAGTATAGCAAGGAAACACCCGGGTTGAATAATAAGGATGACTCGAGATGTAAACACAGTTTCTACCACCCACGAACCTTACATACGTCACACATGCTGGGGTCTGCTTCAGCAGGATCTTATATTTGGCCTGTCGACAGGGAACTCACCTGCAGATGCAAGGTCGGGATCAATTTCATCCATTGGCGTATCAGCGCCATAAGCACGGTCAATCAACCGCTCCATGACAGAGGTGGATTTGATCTATCCAAATGTCGAGGAATTGATGTCTGGAGTATACTTCGTTCCCACTCCCACGGGTATTCAACCCTGGTACCTACGCTGTAGCCTTTTATTCCGAGCGCGTGGCAGTTATTCCCCGGATACACCACTTCCCAGGGATCCTTATCGCCATCACATACCAATATTTTTTGATATTGCCGGCGAAGCTATCAATATGATAACTTGCCAGCACTATAACTTCGGACTCCTTCAAAAGTGTGTGCGCAATGCTTGTTACTATCGAGTCGGTTCGTCAGTTGCGTCCCAAGTCCCTGGTCAGATGAGGAAAGACAACCAACCCCGAAACCCCCAGCCTCAAATGTCGAATCGATCAGATACGTCACATGCTTCATTCCCTGCCTCCAAGTGCATGCATAGTAAGACTTGCAATGTATCTGAAGAGATGGAAAGCGGGTATGCATGGCGGTTTATTGTACAAGGTATCCCCGTCGGTACTCAGCCATGACAGAGTGGCACAGTGACACAGTAATGAACCAAGGCATATTGTCAAAGAGATTGTCTTTCTCTTCTAGTCTAGAAAGCTAGATTAGCTGGCATCTTGGTGCAACGTCCGTTGTGAGTCTGTCAACATTCTCATGGCGGCGTCGCACCAGGACTGCTTAGCAACTGGCCGGAATCATCCTGCCTCGTGATGGACAACGATCCGCGCCTTCCAACAGGGTACTATACAGTGTAGCACGAAGTCTTATCCACGGTGGCTTTGAGGACCTTACTCTCGGGATATCATCGAACGTTCATTCTCTCTCAAGTTCCAACCTAACCACTAGTGCGTCATCTCAAAATGCCAGAAAGGCACTGGCCATAAACTACGTATCGGCCATAACGCCAGGGGAAGTGGAAATAAAACCGCTAGGCTCCCCCACCAAATAAGCCGGGGCTCCATCGGAGGAACCCTGGGTCTGAGCGGAACCGAACCACGGACCAGGCTTGACTGCCACTACAACTTACAAGACTAGCAGGTTGATGTATGATGATGGTGTTGGTGATGGTGAGGATGGATGGGGAACTTCCTCAACCATTACCCAAATCTGTCATTTCCCATTCCGTGTGATCAGCGCTGAGCCGGAAACATCGTCATGGGTCTGCAATAATCAAATAAGATATGATCCATGCTCTGTCCGAGACAATTCCGTCTTGTTGGCTGCCCAAAAGTCCTAGACGCTGGCAGGAACCCCGTTGCGGCCCAATAACGACTGCGGCCTCCACTGCGGCGCTTCTTGCCGTCCGCCTCTGCAGGTGAAAATCTCTCAACCGGAGGGGCAAAAGTAAAAAAAAAAAAAGTTTTACCGTCCAGATTTTGCGATGTCAAATTGGAAAACAGGTTCATGCGAACTTGATCGGTGTCACTCAGGTAAATCCATTCAAATGTTATTACTCTAACTTGTCCTGCGCGAAATAAAAATTTATAGAGAAAGCTTTTGCTCCAACCTTTTGCAGATTGAACTTCCCATGACATAAAGAAGTGGTCATCTACTCTAGAATGCTCTTCTACCCCACTTACCGGCATCGTCTAGCTGACTGATATCTTGATCCTCCATCCTGGTGGAGTTTCCGGTGAGCAAACGGCATGGAAGATGGAGTCGAAGCACGCTAGAAAATGGGTTCCCGACAACACTGTCCGCTAGCAAACAATTTGCATCGCAGTTCTCTGCTCCGGCTTGTTATAGTCCTGACAGGTAACTGCGAATGACAGGCATAGACGAACCTGTGATAATCCATCACTCCCGTCACTCCTCCAAGGTCTTCCGGTCTCGGATGAGTTGGATGCCATGTCTGTGGCAATGTTGGTCAATGGATCAATCAACCTAGTTCTTGCTGCTTCTCAACAAGCTTCTTCGGGCACTGATATTACATTAACCTCATGACAAGGGGTTTAGAAATCACAGATCCCGTGAGTCATATAGAGAGAACACTCGTGTTTTTACACGTCTGGCTACAGAGAGAGGTTGCCTATCCACAGCGCAATTAGTATGCATCTATACGGATACTGTTGGCATCGATCAGACTGAGAAGGACAATAAAGGCGACATCTGGAATTTGAAATCAGACGACCTCCCTGTCCCTGCTCAGCTGAGGCTGAGTGAGGCATAACTCTAAACGTGGTTTCTGCGTCATACTAGCTTACCAGGATTACATCTATTGTCATTGGCTCAAATAAATGAGCCACGGACTCAAATCTACCGCTTCATGTCAAACTATCGGGTAAATATTAGTTTCGTCCTCATTCCCGAGTACCTAAAATGCAATTAAAACATAGCATCTCGGGTTATCACTGTCCACTCAGCCCACGATCACATCGGTATATCCCTCAATCTTCCCGTCTTTCATCTCCATCATCCGGACGTTGATGCCCAATACTCGTGACTCATTTCCTGGATGAGACTAATTCCATTCCCTGGGGCTGTTAGTGTTATCCACAGCCAACCACCCGTCGATCCCAGTGTTCCGGCTTTATTTGTACTATCTTTACTCTAGGCTAATCTCAAGGGTCCCCCGCTGTCAACTCGCCGGATTCATTGTTGCCTCCCGCCCCCTGCTTGTTGAGCTCCGTAAACTTCCAGTGAAGAAGATTGGCTGAAACCTAAGACTGTCATCGGGAATAACCGCAAGCATCGTAATTGGACTCGTACGCACTGTCGATCCGGTCCCTCTAAGCTCAAGGACTGTCCACCTGTAGAGTTATACTTTCAGATGGTGATCCTGATAAGATAGGGCTGCTGAGTAAGCGAGTTGCCGGGGCCACGCCAGACACCCAAACAAACCAGCGTCATCCCCAGCCTCGCCATTTACTCCAACCTCCTCATTTTCGGCGGCTGTTCGTCCATTCTGCTCGCTGAGTGTCTTCAATTCTGCCCTTCTCCGTCCCTGACGGAGCTGGTCATCATCCCCGTTGCATAGACTAACCAATCTGTCTAGCAATACACCACATCGTGCGATCCACATTCCAACCATCTACCATCTACATAGTCCACCGACCGATCGGAATCCAGATAAGAACCATAAACTCGATCTCACACTGACAACCTCGATAAAGGTACGCATCCACATTCCAATTACACCCCATACCCGCACCATCCCACAGCCAAGCTAACCACCATCACCACCATCCAGAGTCCCGTCTAGAGCTCCAAGCTCTTGACGGCTCTCCAACTCCAACAACCATGCCTCCCATCCACCCCTCTGCCACGCTCCTCCCCGCCAGCACCCAAACCACCATCACGACCTCAGAGCAACACGACCAAAATGCCGCCCCTCACACCCACCTCTTCGGCCGCTCCAGCACAACCTGGGCCCCAGGCTCCGGCACCGTCGAACCAAGCCACATCAACATGAAAGGCCTAATGGCCCTCTTCGCCATCCTCGGCGCGGCCTTCGTCCTCGCAGCAATCTGGTTCTTCTTCTGGGCCAAAAACGGCGGATTCATCTGGCGTAAAGGCGACTGGGAAGAATACAAATCGACCGTTCTCCGCCGCAAAGGCCCCGATGGGCGCACCTTATCCAACGCCACGAAAAGCACCAAACTCGGCGGCGGCAGCGTCTACCACAAAGGCTACAGCGACGACGGCTACACCTACACCGACGAAACCGCCACCAACCTGACCGAAAAGACTGGCGTAACGGGGGCCACCTCCGCCGAGAAAGAACGCAAACGGCGGCGCAAGCTCCGCGAGAAATTCCGTCGTCGACGCAAGGACGACGAAATGACCGCGAACTGGGAAAACGAAGTCGACGAGGACGTTGCCGCGTACCGAAAGGAAAAAGCCGCCCGTGTCGGGGGCATTAATCGCGAAGGAGAGGGAACCTACTACGGCAGTGACTATGACCTTTCCAACCCAGCAAGTCATTACAACCAGAGCGAAATCAGCGGAAGTCAGGTCCGTGACTACGCTTACGATCCGGCCCCTGCCCCCGCCAAAGCGCCATCCCGGAAACAGAGCAGACGACGTGACTTCTCCTTCGTACCCGGTAGCGAGGACACCCTTAGCCAGGCACCGACCCGCGACGACCACCACGACCGCCGTCACAGCCGCGAACCCTCGGCGAGAAGACATAACCGTCGGCGTGAACGACGCAGGAATCCCCCGCCGAGTGAGTCGTCCGGATCACGGACTAGTAGTCCCCGCAAGCGGGAGAGACAGTCCGTGCGGGGCCACTACACGGAACCGTTGGATTTCTCGTCATCGGCGCCGTCGAGATCCGAGTATCAGTATTCGAATGTGGATACGGAGGATACGGGGACTAGGAGTTATCATCACCCGATTCCGGGGTTGAGTAAGGGCTATAGAAGGGAGGGAGGGCGTGGGAGGAGAAGGGATAGTTTGAGTGAGAGTGATTGATTTGTTGGTTGATTACTGCTTGCTTGGCTTGCTTGGTGAATGGATGGATGCATTGGGTTATTCGGAACGTAAATGATCTGATATGAAATTATTATGGATATGGATATGGTTTGCTATGATATGATATGATATGCAATGGATGTACATAATGCAGTGTGCTTTGGTATTTTTCTTGTTCTATTTGTTGTTTCTACTTTAAGGGTGAATATGGCAGGGAAACGATCTATGATGATACTATGGGATGGAATTTTTGATCATGGCAGTTGATTGCAGTGGAATTGACTATATGATGTTACACAAGATCTCTGGTCCTTTTGATCTTACTTGTGCCATCTACCTGGTCTTGTAAGGGCACTGTTATCCTCTAGACTAGCGGAATGTGATAATGGTACGCATTTTCAGAGCTATCCAAGTGCTGGCATATTGTCATTAAAGATAAGCCATGGCTAGCCACCAACCTATGTGCTATGCTACACTATCTAAACGAACGGAAATTGCAATATACCAATTACTCATTATCCTTGGCCAAGTCTGCTGGCTGACTGCCTTCATCTTCAGGGCCAAATCCCCGCCAGGCAGAATCATAGCGAGACATGCGACGGAGAGGTGGCCGAGTGCCAAAAGCCATGGAATTAGTTCTCTTTCGATGGTTGAAAGACCTGCAGGTCCCACGCCATATAACAGTGCTGGCTTGTTCTTGCTTTTTAGAAGGCTTGATTGTCGAACCACTAGACACCACCGCACCTGCGTCATTTGAGTGCCAGCTTCCAAGAGCCAATTGACTGATGTCTTCATCGGTCAAGCCCTGGGTACGTAAAGTTTCCCATACGGGATGGGATCTCAGACGTGCACTTTCCAGCGATGAGGTGCGAACTTGGTGAAGGATCCAGTTGTCTATAAACCTTTGCCGCTGAAAGGGCGGCCCAGTGCTATCGAAATCATCCTGATCATAGGGGGAGGACCTTTCACGAATCGTCAACTTGAACGGGTCTTTGACTAGGTCATCTGCAGAATGGATGTCATCTGCAGAACGACTGCGAATGCCGACGGAGTGAGCTGTGCGCCCTGCAAATCCTGGATCACTTTGGGCTATCTCGTCAAGGTCTGACTCGAAGTCGGCAATGTCATAGCATGGCTGTGCCTCTATCCGATCCCAAGCTTGTGAGAACCTATAAACTGGACTTACTGGACGCGTGCTTGTTTGAGAGACTGGGATTCTCTCTGCGCCAGATATGGATTCCTGCACCTCTGATGTGAAGAGATGGGGCTGTTGTTGCTGCTGCGAATCATTCTTCCTCTCAGATGTGGTCAGCGGAACCGATTGGGTATCAAAGTCTCGAGGATCAGAGCTAGAACGCGCAACCCCAGAGTCGGTCCTAACACCTTGAGGTGCCCTATTATCTACCGGGCGGAATAGGCGGCTCAGTCGGGTGGCTGAGCGAGCGAGCTCCTGTTCAAGCTCCTCCAATTCATCCTCAGACTGATAAAGCTGGTATTCCAAATCCAAATGATAGAGCGCGATCGACCGGAGTGCTGCGTAATCCTTTTCAATGAGCTGTGCAGTAGATTGGCAAGTGCAGCATGTAATAGCACTGAGATGTGCTCTGATAGAATCCCTCACAGCCGTTTCCTCTTCTCTCTGCTCCCACATCATGGCACGCAACTTGTGCACCTTGTGCCTGTCTATCGCGATCAACTTCTGCTGCTCATGGCATTCCTTCTGCGCTATATAAGCCTCTATCATATCAATATCACCAACTGGTGGTATATGGTGTCCCCAATGACATTTCCTAGGCAGGCAGTTTGCATCATCGACTGTAGTTTGCGTTATCCCGTCTTCCTTGCTGTGTGATACGAAACCTGAAATCGAGTGTACTTTCCGTAAACAATCACTGGCATTCCCTGTCAAGGCTTTCTCTGCTAAGCTCGGACGGGGTTCCGAGGCAGGTTTGAATTTGGGATCAATTGTTGTGTTCAGTGGGAAGGGAGGTGGATGGCTGGGGAAATTGCGTTTTAAAGTATTGGGACAGTCAGGTTTATCTCCAGAGGAGAAGCCAGTAGTATGGATATTCCTAGGGAGCATATCGGAAATGAGGGTAGAATGGAATTGATAGAATCTGGCGCGAGTGGTAGGGCTAAATTAGTCGATGAGCTGCAGTGGAAGCCACAGCAAGCAACATCGTGGATATCTCCTCTAAGGAACATTTCGTAGAAGGAGCGAAGCCATAAAAAAGAAAGAGCGACGGATCAGCCTGATAGACTGCTATCTGATACCTGAGCGGCGACATGGCTAAAAACTAGAAGGTACCTCAGTTTGCTGAGCCTTAGATGGCAAGAGATACTGGAGTGGACTTCGCACGAGGGAATGGAGATGCGATAGCAGCCAACAGGCTTATCGGTGGAGCGCAAGTGGAGTTCGTCCAAAATCAGAGCCTCGGAAAATCTCACCGCCCGACGGATTTTCCAGCCCGCTTGAATGAGGAAAACTTTCCAGTCGTTCACCAGCTTCCCCAGACTCCCTTCCCTTGAACTTACAGTGAAATCCGGGAATTCATATCGCCACAATGAAGCGCAAGTTGGATGCTAATGATGTTCCCTCCCCTGAAGTTGCGGAGACCAAGGAGGCCCCCGATGCGAACGAGGCCGACTTTGAAAGCCTCAACCTGGATCCGCGACTGCGCCAAGCCTTGATCAAAGAGAAGTTCACCAAGCCTACGCTGGTCCAGGCTAAGGCCATTCCACTGGCGCTCGCAGGCAAAGATATTCTTGGTGTGTATATCCCAGTGTCTATGATGGATGATAAACATACTAACAATATCAGCTCGTGCAAAGACCGGCTCCGGAAAGACCGCCGCATATGTCCTCCCTATCCTTCAGACCATTCTTCAGAAGAAAGCTGTCAGTACTCCCCGGAAATTATCGATAGACATCAAAGTGGCAAACTAATCGTATCCTGCTGCTAGGCCGACCCCTCATTGAAAGCCACTACTGGCCTCATCCTCGTCCCCACTCGAGAGCTTGCAGAACAGGTCCAAAACGTCGTCACCACATTCGCTGCTTTCTGCGGAAAGGATGTTCGCTCTGTGAACCTCACACAGAAGGTCTCCGAGGCCGTACAGCGCACTATGCTCTCCGATTACCCCGATATCGTCATCTCCACCCCCGCTCGTGTGATTGCCAACCTCGGAAACTCCTCTCTTTCGCTGGATAACCTGACGCACCTGGTTATCGACGAAGCCGACTTGGTCCTTTCGTACGGATACGATGAAGACATCAATGCGCTTTCCAAGGCGATTCCCCGTGGCGTGCAGACCTTCCTCATGAGTGCTACCCTCACCTCGGAAGTGGATACTCTGAAGGGACTGTTCTGTCGCAGCCCTGTTGTGCTGAAGTTGGAGGATAAGGAGGAGAAGGGCGCCGGTGTTAGCCAATTTGTTGTCAAGTAAGCATACTTTGTACACGACAAATGATTAAAGCGCTATACTAACTACTTCGCCCACCAGATGCGCAGAGGATGAGAAATTCCTCCTGACATACGTGATCTTCAAGCTCCAGCTCATCAAGGGCAAGGTCATCATATTTGTTGGAGACATCGACCGTTGCTACCGCCTCAAGCTTTTCCTGGAACAGTTCGGCGTCAAGAGCTGTGTTCTCAACTCCGAGTTGCCAGTGAACTCCCGAATCCACGTCGTCCAGGAATTCAACAAGGGTGTTTACGACATCATTATCGCTGCAGACGATCAGGAAGTCCTAGGATCCAAGTCGAAGAAGGCCAAGAACGCCGATGCTGATGAGGAGGAGGAAGCTGCTGGTGTTATGGGATCCAGTGACGACGAAGAGGCTGAAGACGACAAGAGCAAGTCGAATCGTCCGGACAAGCGCCGCAAGCTCACCGCGAAAGAGAAGGACTATGGTATCTCTCGTGGTATCGACTTCCAGAATGTGGCCTGTGTTTTGAACTTCGACCTCCCCACAACCGCCAAATCCTACACACACCGCATCGGGCGAACCGGCCGTGGCGGCAAGACCGGCATGGCGCTCTCGTTCGTCGTCCCAGCAGATCAGTACGGAAAGCACAAGCCCACCTCCTTCCCCACCGCTAAACACGACGAAGCCGTCCTGGCCAAGATCGTCAAACGTCAATCCAAACATGGCCACGAAGTCAAGCCCTACCACTTTGAGATGAGCCAAGTCGACGCCTTCCGCTACCGTATGACCGATGGTCTTCGCGCCATCACACGCCTTGCCGTCCAGGAAGCTCGTGCTCGTGAGATCCGTCAGGAGCTGGTCAAGAGCGAGAAACTCAAGCGCCACTTCGAAGACAACCCGGATGAGCTGCGCCAGCTCCGTCACGATGGCGAATTGCGCTCCGCACGTATCCAACCCCACCTGAAACACATCCCCGAGTACCTGATGCCGTCCAAGGGTCGCAAGGGCATCTCCAGCGAGGATGTCGGCTTCGTTGGGTTCCGGAAAAACAGCGACAACCGCATCCGTAAGGCCAGAGATAAGAACCGCGCCAAGGGCAAGGGCCGTAAGCCCTCGGGTGTTAGGAAGGTTGATCCGTTGAAGACGTTTAATAGGGGCCGGAAATAGGCGTTGCATAAGTGTGGGATCAGTGGTGGATGAATGAGGGATTATGTACATATTGTTCTTGGTTCCATGGGAAAAAGTTCATCATATTCGGTTTGGGATTGTGCGTGCATATAGAACTCCAATTCCAATAATTGCATGTAAAATTTGAGATCAGGAAATCTGCCACTTGTATTTCATTCCAAAGCTGTATTCTTACATCATCTGATGTAAGTTCTATTTCGATGCACTTGGTTATCTACCAGTACCTAACATGTCCATAACACCTTACCCCCCACAGCATCAACATCATATACTAAGCTATGGGTACTATATCTTAACTGTGCAATCCACACACACATCTACCACCTCCTAACCAACTATCAATATATACGCATACCTCAATGACCAACCACCCCATCAAGGCAAAACCCCCACCCACTCCTTCCCAAATAACTTCTTCAACCCATCCTCCTCAATCCCCTCCAACCCAAAAGAAAACTGCACCCACTTGCCCTTTCCCTCCCTCCTCAGCTTCAAAACCCATTGCTGCACCTCCTTCGCAGCCTGCACCGTTTCCCGGAACCGCTCTAGCTCCTTCCCCCTCCGATACTTAATCCGCTCGACCTCCACATCCCACGGTAAATCCGACGCTGGCTCCGCATCCCCTCCTCCTCCACCACCTCCTACACGGCTCGCAAGAGCGGGATGCGGCGGAGGCGCATGCGCCGAGAAAGCCAGGGAGCGGGTAGGCGACGACAAAGACGAGGAAGAGGAGCCGCTCTGGCTGACGCTATTCTCGGGGAGGAGTTCGGCGTCGTCGATATGGGGCAGCCAGCCTGGTCCGAGACGGATGTATTCAATGTCTCGCCAGGAGGTGTTCCATTCGGGACCTGAGGAGGCGTACGCGGATGAGATTGATTCGCTGTCTTGCCATTTTAGGGCTGGAATCCAGTCGCCGCAGCCTTCGAGGTCGAGCCATTTCAGGCAGTAGGTGACGCGGGACAGGCGCCGGAGGAGACCTGCTGCTTCGGCCCAGTTGTTTTCGCTGGCGGAGTAGGTGTCGGTGCCGCCGTAGGAGAAGGTTAGGGAGCGGTGGTTGGGATGGCGGATTCGGGCGTTGATGGCGTTGGGCGTGACGGTGGGTATAGGCCAGTGGGCGAGGGAGAGGTGGGTGATGGTCGAGAGGCGGGAGAGGAGGCTTATAAGGGAGTTCCAGTTGACGGTGCCGGGTTTGGGGTGTGCGAGGGAGAGGTAGCGGAGGTTTGAGAAGCGGAGAGTTGGGGATGGCGTGTGAGGGATAGTGGTGGGATTGCTTGCTGTTGGAGTGATCGTGTTGCCCTCTTCTTCGGCTATCTCGTATTCCTCTTCCCAGGAGGAGGGGACAGTTTCTTTGGGCTTGCGCTGCACGGGATTTTGCTTCTCGGTGATGAGAAGCTCGCTGGAGAGTTGTTTCAAGCTTAGCCATCGGCCGATGGCACTGCTTAGGTCTAGACGGGTGACTTCGGACTCGCTTTCTTGATGTATATCAGGGTCATCGGTAGCGCGGGATTTCTCGAATAGAGGTCGCAGACCGCGCATAAGCCCGCCCAGCGGTCGATCCTTGGCATATACAGCGATGTAGCTGAGGAGGCGCACTTTGAGATGGTTTGGAAGAGCTCCTAGGAACGGTCCGTCATACTCAACATGCCATTCCCAGTATGTGGCCATCGATCTGAGCACCGTTTCGACAAGACTGCCCTTGGGAGGGAAGGTCGTGCCGGGTAGACGCTCTAGCCGGTAGATGACCCTTTCTTTCTCTGCAGCAGCAATATCAACGTCTTCTTCCTCCGCATCATCCCGGCTGCCCAGGAGCCAGCTCTCTGGTGGTGGGGGTCCTGCAGTCCGTCGCAAGCGCAGCGAGCCAACAACCCCGACACGACGCGCCCCCGGGCGGGGGCGGGGAGGCGGGGTTTCCGGTAGTTCAAGAAGATTCCGTAGAGAGGGATGTACAGATCGAGGAGCGACAAATCTAAAGGGGCTTTCGGGCCCATTGGAGACCTGCGTGCGGCGGAGGTGGTGAATCAGGTCGTTAACGGAGGGTTGCTCCGCGGAAGAGGACGAAGCGTGGGACGAACGGAGACGATCATGGTGGTCGTGTCGCGGGCCGGAGGAAGCAAGCGTATGGTGAGCAGTGCTGGCTGGTTTCGCAAAGGCGGTCTTCTTGTGCTTTTTGGGCATAGGGATGGGAGGAAAGTAGTAGACTCAAGGGGAGGTTTCAATGTGGCAGAAGTGGGATGAGGCCGATCGGCGGAGCTCCTCCCCATCTTATCGTTCGCCGCAGCTGGTTTCGCCCCTTCGGTTTAGTAAGGCTGAGCCACGATTTAACCAACTAGTTGGTTAGTTCAGTAAATAGCTTGCTATGAGTGAGAATGAGTCATTGGTCAATTCATGCTAGCTTGCCGTAAAGCCAGGCTGAGTCTTCTTAAGTCGACAGGCTGCGGTAGAGAAGACAAGGAATAGCGTGCGATGTCGCTTGTGCCCATATTTTATTTCTATGCAAGGTTCTATTGTACAGTTGTTTTTTGCTTCGCAGTAATGCACATCGTCAAATATCGCGGACCCATGAATCATCGTCCATCTTACCCTCGCGCTTAGGGCCCTCTTGCATCCATGTCTCCACTAGACCTTCCTTCGGGTCTTCGTCCGACAATCCTCTCGTCCGTCGGACATCGAGGACGAGATCCCGGACCTTCTTAGTAACCTCTTTTCGCAGCTCAACTGCTTCAGGGTCATATAGGAGCTGGTCGTTTAGCACTCCAAACGGCAGATCGCGAGTCTCAGGGGCTACGCGTTCGGCCTTGGCCTTGATCTTCTGCCACCGTCTTCTGTATTCCCCAAAAACCGCCTCTCTATCCACTTTCTGTCCGAAAGTGACGCTGACCTCCTTTCCGACACGAGGGAGGAACCGTGGGAATTCGCGGCTTTCGTGCATAACCTGGTCGAAGCCCTCAAGCCAGATCGGCACCACATCCGGGCATTCGCTAGCCTCAAGGATCAGTCGTGCCACACCCCATTTGAAGTAGCGCATAGTCTTGTTCGGCGCTTGGTGGATTTTTCCCTCCGGGAATATATGGAACCAGGAATACGAGTTGCAGGCGTAAGAAGACGGCGATAAATGAGAGTCATGCCCGTCGGTGGTGTAGGCTGTGGGGAGATCGGAAAACGGATCCACGCAGACATTTTGTAGACTCCACGATTGACGTTCGGGGACAGCGAGATGAGGGTCAGCGGGGAATGGTCCCTTCGACAGGAGTCGGATCGCCTGGGTGACGACGGGCTGGGCGAGGCCACCATATTGCGAATGGGCCGACCGATGTGTCGGCAGGACTTGGCCCATGGTGAAGAAAAGGGCTAACGGCCTATACACCAGTCCGGTCAGTCAGCAACAAATCATTTCAAATCTGAACAAGGCAAAGAGGACTGCCATACCTAGTCTGATAACAAATGTCATGGCTTCCAAACCCCCATCGTTTATTCCAATTCGCAAGTCCGAAGTTATATCGCATCGGTAGATATCCCCACATGATCGGATCATCCATCCTGCTCAATTAAAGCGGCCATGGTCAGCGTTCTCTGACGTCGGAGTTGAACGGGTCGCCTCAGCTTTCGAGACGCAATGTAGGCACGTACACGCTGGTATGGTTCGAAACTGATAAGTCAAAACAATTAGCCGATACATAATCTTTCAGGTACAGTGATCCAAGAGGGAAAAGACTAGACAGCATACCTGTGAGCAAGCCTCTCGTTCTCTGCGAGGGATCACTCCTCGAGTCGAGGAGCTCGAGAAATTGATCCAATCCATTTGCTTGTGGCCGACTGCAGAGGTACAGAAAAGAGCGGCATAATGCTGCAACTCCGAAGATGGTGGTGGAGGACAATGCCCTCCAGGGAAGCGAAGGCGCATCGGCCGTTGCGCCGCCAGAGTCCGTAGAGCGCGACATTGTTCACTCAGCCCGCTCTAACCGAGATCCATCCAAGCAGTAACAGGGAGAAAGGCAAGCAATATAATGCAGCGTAGCGGCAGGCGGAAAGTGAGGAGAGGAGGAGGGGGGAACAACCCCGGATCGACGGCGTGAAAGCAGGTGGCATCTTCATTGGCCTCGCAGAAATTCGGGGAAGGAAATCAATTGTTGGCCCGCGGAGGTTCGCCGTGCACGGACCTCCCCAAACCTCCTCGACGGGATTTTCGTCCGCCAACTCGGCTTTCCGCTCCTTGTGATTGATAGCTTGCCTCCCACTCATTCGTTCCCTTCGTCCCTCTTTCTGTGATTATATTCGGTGTCAATCGCAAAGATGATGTTCAAGCCCTCATCGCCGCTCTTCTCGGGTCTTCTTTGGTAGGTCGCAATCCAATCTGACTGCCCCTGTCACCCGCCCGGATATCCCGCATTGCTACAACCACCCCCCCCCCATCATCATCATCATGATGCGCCGTGAAGCTAATATCACTTGTCAATCGAATAGGAAGATTCCGTGGCGCCTCTCCCAGCCCCAGAAGGCTCGCCAGAGGAAGCGCCTCCGTGGCGTTGACCGGGTTGTCGACACTGTCTCCGCCGCGCTGGAGCGCAATGGATACACCACCAAGGCCGTCGACCGCTGGTACAGGGAAATGCCTCGCGAGGAGGAGATGCTGCCCAAGGACAAGTACACACTGTTTGACAAGAAGGAGAAGAAGTACCGCAAGGGCATTCACAGTACGTTACACACTAGGCCCATTTAAGTCGATGGGCTGCCATTCCCAGAGGGACTCAAACGAAGGGGATTCTGTTCGAAGTTCGTGTGCTAATGCTATTTTTCTTCCAGAGCTACCGAAGTGGACCCGTGTCAGCCAGAGAGTGAACCCCCCTGGTTTCTAAACAGCTTATACACGCAGAGTGTGTTGGGAAGCTGGCAATCGCCTTTTACATATTTGTACCTGCATTATTCAAACTGTACTATACACCACACGCTGTGTCCGCCACGATGCTCTACAAGAAGCATCGTTGAAGGCACGGAAAGGATCACCGGAGTTTTCGGCAACTGGGGAATGACACCATGACTGCATTGTTCGCCTCGCTATTTACCATGTTCTTTATTCAGGCCTAAGGCACAGGATTCAATTCGATTTCAGAGACTTGGCATTTGATGGCATTTTCACATTCGTAAGAATAGGCGGTTGTTGGGAACCGATGGCAGCGCCAGAAGGCATCATAACAATACAGATAGACCATACAGAGGCTGCATTATGTTATTTGTCCCGTACATCATCCTTTCACACAGATATATAACCGCCCTTGACACCTTCCAATTGTTTGCAGAGCGACCACACAATTCCTGCCCAAAACGCGCGGGCCTGTCAGCGGACCAAACATGAGTCGTTCGCAGATCAAGAGCCTTTTGCTGATGCCATATGAGAAATTACCTGCTGATTACTCCTGCAATTTCTTTTGCTCTTGTTCTGTTGACCCTGCCTTCATGGATGAATTTCCGAATTAGATAACTGTGGCCGATCTTTTGCCAATCATCGAATGTCTCTTGCCAGCCTGCCCCTCCTTCATAATACACATTTCTTTGTCGGGCTAACATGAACGGTCCTTGCGGGGGTCTGCGAAGCATCCAGCATGATGGGTCAACCTTCCCATCTGGTGGATCATCTGTCGCATCGGGGTAGATTCTGATTGTCTTGACCATGTCACGTAGTCCAGACGCTTTTCGGTGTTTGTTAACAGCTAGCCTCCATGAATTGATTTTAGGAGTATAGACTGCTTTGCGTGGCACCCTTGGGTACTTTGGTTTCGCGCTGCAGTCAGGCTTTGGATATGGCGAGTTGAATCTTGGATCTCCTAGTCGCCTTCTAGCGTCGATAGATACTCGCGTAGGTGGGTCAATTACCAGCCAAGTTTCTTTATTGAGCCAGTGGTTCGCAAGCAGCGCGAAATGGTAAGGTCTCCGGCCTGGGCAGAGCTGGTTGTAGAGCCATTCCAGTCTCCGGTCCAGCCCATCTATGAACTGTAGCTCCCATCTACTCAGCTCGCTAATAGGAACCTTTCCTTCCAAAAGTCCTCTCAATTTCTGCTTCTTCCTCTCCCGGGACTCCTTTGTTCTAGAGCGAAATATGCACAGTGGCCCCTTCTGTTGCGTGCAAGAGTCTATATTCCTTTCTTCTTCCAAGCCTAATCCTGTACGATGGCGGGCCTCCAGACGACATGGTAAGCTTGATCGACCACCTGCAGGGGCTGCAGAGTATCGCACAGCTAAACCAGCAATATGATCAACACTCCCCGCTGTTTCCACATTCTTGACATGATTATGCTTGATAGAAACGTTAGGGATCAGTGTGCTGGAATTTGTTGAGAAAGCTTCTTTGCGCCTTGATTGGGTTAGGATCAATAGAGGTATCTGATCGGATGAACTGGTGACAGAGAGCCCAAATCGCGGAGTCCCGGCCGGTGGTCCTAGAAGCTCTGTATATTTGGACGGTTGCAGTGCCATCCGAGCAGACCAGACTTGATGCTTACGGAAATCTCGGAGCCTTTTCATTGTCTTTATTCTGCCTTCTGGAGAACTTGCCTTGGTACAGTGTGGTGCATTTGAGGCGATCGAACTCTCATAATTCTGGCTGAAGAGGCATGGAAGCGAAAAACTGCGTATATCTCCTGTACCACGACCTGCAAGTCCTAAGCGCATCAGAGTGCTGCAAGATGTATAGTGCAAGTGGCGTTGAAGTATGTCTATGTTGCTTGCATATTCGAGATGTTCTCGCTCAAACCTGCACTCTCTGGCGCATTCGCTTCGATACTGGCGACTTTGTCTTGCCTTTCCTCGCGTTGGCGCATGCTGATAGCCACGCTGAAAGAACAATTGGCTATACGAGCTCGTAACATTGCTTCCTCCAAGTGCATAGTAGATTGTTCGACTTGTTATGGATCTCGGTGTATGACTTCTCGAAAGCGCCCCGGTCATAGGTCTGAGAGAAGCATATCCACTGCAGAAGTCCGACGTAGAAGTATTCCTGTGGCGAGGAGGGGGCCCTGGGTTCCAAATAGTATCGGCAGCAATGTAGCTATAGCTTTTAAACCAGGTCGGTAGCCATCGCAGATTCCTCTTTTCTTCGCAAAACCTATTCTGCATTTTCTGTCCAGGATCCCACCAAATCCAGCGATAGTCATCGCTCGGCGATCCCCAGACTGCGCAATCATGGAGCTTTTGCAGACATCTTCGTGCTAGCAGTTTGTTCCCCTCATGTCGTTCTGCTGAGACCCAACCATACCAAGTCCTGCTATAGCGTGTAGTAGTTTTGTTTCCTTGCTTGAGCACTTTACCCTGGGTGAGGAAACGACAGAACTTCGCAATTTTCCAGAAGAAAACCGAAACACTAAAGAATAACACCGTGCCTGCGAGAAGCTGAAGCAACGCTTTGAGACCAACGTATTTTGTGGCTTGTATGGCAGATGCTTGAGCATTTTCATATGATCGAGTGAAGGGTTGGGATTGATATAGATGCATCAAGAGGGGTGCCATCTGAAGCAAGGGATAGTCATCCTGGTAACAATATAAGATATGCGCCGTTCAGGTCATGTACTGGGAGGCACACTGGCTTCAGTGGAGAATGATCTTGCGGTTTGTGGGAGGCGCAAGAAAAAGGAAGGCATGGCTGGTGCCGCATAACCATGGCACTGACCCGAAATTGTTGCATCCCTCGGCCTCGGACACTTTTGCGCTCCTTGCTATTAACCTTACCTTCCTTCTGATTTGATCGCCCAACTTGTCTTGAGAATCAGTATCCTAACCTGCTCCATATCTGGGGTAGATCATCACGAGGAAATCATCCATGTGAACAAGGCGAAATATATAGCAAGACTTCGCTTTTCCTCCGGAATACTGCATGTTCTACCACCAAGCTACTTCCGCGCCATAGTATCCAGTCAACCAACTGAAGCCGCTGATAGGTAGTACCCTTCCTGATCAGAGACACTGGGCTTCATACGAATGCCTTTTCGAGTTATTTTATGCTACATTGATCCAACTAGTCCGTCTGTTTGATTCGAACTTGAGCACTTGTCTTCCCAGTGAGTGGTCCGTTGTAACATGATTCTAGGGACGCCAAAGAATAGCTCCTTCTTCTCTCAGAGCCATCAAGTTGCAAAGCTGATCCTGGGATACAAGGTCTTTCATCTGGCTTATCGCGCTAAGAAAACGCTGTCGGTCTCAAGGCTACAAATCACAGCGATTATCTCAGGGATTCGATACATTTCTCGCATATGTTCACAATGATAGCTATAGCATATCACAAGTATGCAACTAGTGAGATTGGAAATCATAGACTAGGGCTGGGCCATTTCAACATTGCCCAAAATACAAAGACAAGGATATGCCTTGTCCTGGTGGCCGTCTTCACTATTCTTGGCAGAGGCATTGTAGATGTAATAGTCTCATATCTGGAACCAGGCTGTCGGGTTTTTCTATAGTTCTCGCGAGACTTTTGTTCTTTTTTAGAGGGCCTGGATTCAAAAATAGATCTCAGCTCAGCTGTGTTTGCACTGCATTAATGATCGACACATGGTGTCAATCTAGACAATATATGTCTCAGTCTTTCCAAGGCTACAGAAGCCAGAGTACTGGGATATAGTGGACACGCCATAGCTTTGAGGACTGTATCTCCTAATTATTTGAACCTAGCACTCACAGACGCATTTCAATTACTTCCCTTATCTTCATTTTGGAGTTTCTGTTCTGCTCCTGTTGAATGAGGGATGTTCAGATCAGGTGACCGTAGATGGTCGGTTTCCCGCCTCACTCTCTCGCCTCATTTTTCCCTTCAATTCCTTCAACACCAAGGCTCAGTGCCTGAGGATCGATCCCCAATTCATTCACACTTAACTTAATTGAACGGCACATGTGGCTATAAGTATTCACATTTCTTTTTTATACCTTTCTATCTTCTAGTAATGCATCGTCTGATGCTAGGATCGTCACTGTCCCAGATCAATCCATTAGTGAAGAAAAATAAATGAAAGCTGCAATGGTCGAGCTCCCCTGATGGTCCTCACATCGCCAGCGTAACCGAGCACTCCAGCCCGTATTTCAATCCTTAAAGGGGACTACCTCTCAGCTGTTTCAATAATTGAACGCAACGAGGCTTTCCCCCTTTTTTTGCATGGCCCCCTGGATATTACTTTATTCATTGGCCTGCGAACAAGCTCGGCGAAAACAGGGAAATTCTACTGAAGTTTGTTTTGGTCTTTAGGTTACACAACCCATAGCCTATACTTAAACCCCGGTTCTGGGTCGAAGGCACGGTTACCAAGTACCGGGATAGCTACTACACTTCTACACGCCCGCGGTGAAAAATACCCCCGGTTGCTTGTGGGGTTAGCACATCTAGGGCTGACGTCCAGTACCTCTTTTGGTCAAAGGCGCCCAGTGGCTGATCAGAATAATTGCTAGTGAAGGTCGTCTGCGAAGACCATCGTCGACCGGCTTGCCGGAAGGCTTTCAGACACAATTGGGTCCTTATGAATCCCAGCCCTGTACTTTTGGCCGCTTCGGATCGCCGTCTAGCCCTTCCTCGATCCCAAACAGGAATACACAGGACATGCCCCATGCGGCGGTAGCAACGAAAAACATCCCCTGCCCTATTAAATTGCCTGGTACATGTGATGTCTGATACACATGGGACATATAACTCGCGATATCTGTGACACCTTAAGCTAACATCCATGTGATTGTTCAACGAAGCAATCCCAAGCTGAACGTGAGCAAGGGTAAAAGGATGGCAACAAAAGAAAAAAGAAGATAAAGAATAGAGACCAAGTTGTGTTTTCACCGATGATATCTTACCGGGATACTACATTCCTAAAGCCATTGATATCTTTGTAATCGGCACCAGGCTCCAACCGGGGCGGGATGGATATACTACCGCAGGGATTGCCACCTCTGATCAATGAGCTTGCTGCAATCACATACACTCATAACATTGAGTTGCCCCATTCCGACATCCTATGCCCTAATTGTTGCGGGATTTGTTGCGGAGCCTAAGCCTCGTATAGATTAAGATCTACCAAACGATGATCGACCGCATACCACGTTCATGGAGGGTTACATGCACGGTGATGGCCCACCAATTTTTTTTCTGCTGTCTGAAAGGACGGGAAAAGCAAAGGAATAGTAACATGATTCGCTGAGCCGTGTGTATCATATCGTCGACATTTGGAACATATACTCTTGCGACAGCATCACTCCATACTGGCATCGCACATTCACAGATGAGCAAGGTTGTCTCCCTTGGTCAGAGGCAAAAAGGGGCAGGTAAATTGGTAATGCCTCGCTGCATCCATGACTCGCCTCGTCTCGGTTCACTAATCATGGATGTCACACGGTGAGCGAGTCCAGGGACTCGAGTCATGTCAGTACGCTAAGAACGTATCGTGTGGCACCCCACGGCGAAGAGTAAGCGGTAGACGCTAGTGGAATAGACGAGGATTTGGGGGGTGGAGTGGTGTTGAACGATGTCTTTCAGCATTGACGAAAGACAAGTGAGCTTCAAGCATGGGTGACCCTGGAACTGGACCACTTTGCAAATACCATCCGGATTACGGAGTCAGAAACAAACACATCACCTGCAGTAAATGCGGTGAAAGAGCTCCCTTTGCAGGATGTTCCAAGTTGTGCCCGACGCCACAATTCGGGACTATTTGCTGAACTATGACAGTTCCAGATGACCACTAGCCACACCCGCCGCAACGTAAGGAAGGCCGTGGTTTCACTACACCGCCACAGATGGGCCGTTGATCATCGTGTCAGCCACAAGTGGCTACTAGTGAACCATAGCGCAGCCGCCCAATCATCATGCAGCATGTCTCGTCCCACGCATCCCGAGGCATGCAGCCTACAGGAGGAAGTAGCGCCGATCGATCTTGCATTGCATTGCAGGAACACTCAACGATTGGTGTCTGAAAAAGCAATCATCCCCGATGACCACCATCTTGATCTTGTCGATGAAGAAATGAGCTTCGATGATCTCAAGACCAGCGGGAGTCACGGCCTCTCGTGTGACCGGAATTCCGTGTATTGATCGATCACAGCCTTTTCAAGGTTAAGTTTCAGGAACGTAAACATGACATACTGCACCCTTATCTCACTGCACGACAAACCCCGAATTCGTAAAGTGCGAGGGTTCGGCACGATAAGTGCAATGCAGAAACTACATGTCACCATTTCAGACATGGAGCCCTGATGGTGAAGACCCCAAGGTCTAGATCTTGCACGCACACCGTTGTACTGGGTATCATGCAGTGGACCCACCGTTCATCCGGCCGAAACCCCCAACTACAGGAAAGGGATCTGCATGTTGTGCGGTCTCAGAGGCAGTGGGACCAAGAGGCATCTGCAGTATCATCCCGGCATAATTCGGGTCTATCTCACGGAAATCTTGGGGAGAACGTCATTTGTTAGCCGAGCAGACCGGTGTCAGGAGCGTCATCAGAGATTCATGCAAGGCAACAGCATTTAGACAAAGTTTACTAGGACGGAGTCTAAGGTTATCACCTCTGTTACTGAACAGCCTATCATGCATCTCGGGATTACACAGGGAACACACCAGCCATAATTGAGGCTGGAGGGATATGTGGCTGGTGTGTTGATCTAGGACCCAAAGGGGTATGTTGTGTGGCGAAGTAGCCCCTGGGGCTTGACGCCCAGTCGCCCCTCCTTTTCTGCAGTGCGACAGGACCTTGTCCGTTCCCGTCCTTGTCGGATCGTCTCTGTTTACCTTGCTCGGGCTTTGGAGTCTGGAATGTCAAATTAGTGGATACTCCATGACCAGTCCAGGCCCTAGTCAGACGGATCCGCTCTCCTGGGTCTGAACCTGGGTTCTGACCGCTGGACCGGGTAAACGAGCGACAGAGACGCTTCAGACTCTCAGGACCAATATAGCTCTGAAGGTCCCGGAGATCCGCCATATGAGACAGTCTTCCAAGTCACGGTTTGACAAAAGTACAGATGGGAGCAGGATGGATAGGTATTGCACGAGTGAGCACCCGTCCGGGAGCTGTCGAAAACGTGGTTCCGGCACGGTCCAGGTAGTAAGCAGGAGTCGCCAAAGCTCGGATTTTGCGCAACAGATTTGAGTTTCCGGGCTTGGTATCCGGCGCTTGGGTAACTGGGAAGGGATCCTAGCACCCGTATCTCTAGATCCCTAGCTCGATCTCGCAATTTCCCCGGGAGGTCAATGCAAGGAGACTAATGAGGAATGATCCTTCCTCACCCAGGCTCTAGCTCTCGCTCCACGGGACCATTTCCGCCTCCCCAAACCATATGCAGTCGTCCTATGGAGCGAAATGGTTCGCGGGCGGAGCAAGCCATGGAAGTACAATATGAGCCAGAAAAAGTAATGAAATACAAGGAAAAACAAACCTGCCACGAACCATAGTTCTTGATCGTCATACATCCGATAGTCACTAGTTGATCCAACTGGGTCGAGTGATGTTAAGCTTCAGAATCAGATCCCCTGGCATGGATTCGCACTTTGACATCGCAGTGCTCTCTGCTCTCCAACCTTTGGGACCCGAAGTTCAACTCTGGGACTGTCCATGGTTCTCTCCTTTCTACCCGCGCTAACGGGACCCAAATTGACGCGTACCAAAGTCCACGAACTGTAGCTGATCTGGGTACTAGTGGGGAAGGGGGGAAAAAAGAAAACGTCAGGTCGCAGACAAATAAATCGTCTCAAGCGGATATCGTCTATGCAAGCGCCCTGTTGCAGGATCGTGCAGGTTTAGCAGTACCCAACGTCCGGTAACATTCAATATCCCGCAGCCTAGGGGCATACGGGGCCTCTGGTGCAGATCCCGGTTACTGGAACCCCCAGTATCTATTGAACTTAGTTCCTTCGTGGTGGCAAAAGACCATTGCCGTCTTGAGTACTTTCCTGGTTCATTTCGAGACTCCTATATCGCACCCTAGCGATCCGTTGCTACTATATACGAGAGGACGCATATATGAAGGCCCTGGAAGAAGCCTCTCTTCGATGTCTTCGCTCACTCAACAAGCTCAAGCCTACAGTCTCAATTCGAAACCTCAGGTTTTCTGCTTTAAACAGGCTCTTTTCACATCGCTTTCTCTCTCTTTCCTCGCGATCGATCTCTTCTTGACCTGCTGGAAATCAGTCTCAGAGCCCCAGCTGAGTACTACTTGTCGAAATTGCCATTGAGTCGATACACACCCGCGCACCAATCATCATGGTTCAAGGAAACGGAAGGAACGATGGCGGAAGCTCCAGCCGTGAATATGGAATGAACTTTGAGGTTGCGCCTCCTACAACAGTTCCCCTTGGCGTACCAGTGACACTACCAGTAATTGTGGGGGTCCGACCTGTGGGTAACCCACGAGGAGTGCAACAATTGGTTGCGCATGCCTCGCTGAGGAATGAAGCAGGCACTGCGCCTGCTTCAGGACTCACAGGCGTGCTTACATCTAGCGTGCGCAGTCGCAATGGCAACGGCACCAGCGGATACGCTCGATTTGGGCCTCTCAAATTCACACAGCCTGGTCGGTATCGGATGCGGGTTATGCTAGGAGCGGCCTCTTTCAACGGCGTCACCACGAAAGAATATGTTGAATCGGGTATCATTCAAGTACAGGCAGGCGCTGCCACACCACGTCCGAGTAAGTCCTATCGTTACTGTAGGTGAGAAATAACTTAAAGCTAACCTATTTGTAGCACCTACTCAGGTGTCAAAGCTACAGACCCTAATCCCGGAAAACATCGACATCACTGCGACTGACATTGCGACATGGCAATCAGCATAGAAGCCTTGGAGCACAGCCATGTTTCGTACCCTCCTTTTTTTGTATTGATTATCGGTTTTACTCGGTGTTTGTGAAGATTGCGTCAGGATCAGCCAGGAGTTTCGGCCTGTGTCTCAGCTTCCTCGCTCACTCATGTGAATTTCCTTTGTTCGAGGCGGGCCAAACACGAAGTGCAGAGTGTTGGCCACCACATGATTTACGATCTAGTTTTTATTTTTTATTTACCGCCTAGTATGTGATACACAAGCTCAGATTTAGCGAATGCAACTTTAATTGGATCTTTCCATCCCGGCACTAAACCGTCACATCTGCCAATCGTGGGCCACGCGACAGCGATCCAAATCCTTGCAACAAATAGCCAAATCGCAGAACCCACCATGGATAAACTTTTATGAAAATCAGGCATCAAGACCCTTAGAAATTGATAGAACAGCTCCACCAATAGCACATTTCCGCAGAAGGATCCATGAAACCTGTTTCATCTCTCATCACAAACCATCATCTTCTTCAACACCACCACCACCACCCCATTCAAATGACAGACCCATCCCTATGTAGATACCAGGAATTAATTCAATCCATCATCAATAACCAAACTCAAAAACAATGCTTAGCACACACTTTCCCACCCCCTTCGTAAACGCAAGAAGAAGAAGGGAAAAAAATACGAAGAAAAAAAAGAAAATTTCAATCCCACACCATCCCAGCACCGATCCCTATAAAACCCTCAACTAACTCCTATACTACCACCTTGATATTATATCTAAGCGGGTCCTCACTGGGCATCAACACTGCAATTTTTCACTCCCACTCAAGCAGCAATCTCCCCGAGGTAAGGACGAAATTAGCCCGGCGGAGAACAGATAAATCTCAATGTAACTTATTCAAGGCTGATTACTCCCGTCGAGGAAATAATGATGATGCTTCGCTTGGGCATTTTTAGTATAGTAGCAAGGATTTGGATTTTATTTGACTGAATGGATCCATCCATGAGTTAGTGAGTGATGGATGATCAAATCGGGATTTGAATCTTCGGTGTTTGGATGTGGTGGAGCTTGGAGCTTGCTGCTGCTGCTGCTGCAGTCAGTGATCGATCGTAAGTACTAATATTAAGATACGGGTATTATAGTAGTACTGTAGTAAATTTTACTATTATCATCTGGCTGAAGGATTCTCCTACTTACGTAGGGCTCAGGGACGAGGGAGTGATTATTGGTTGTTTGGGGATATTGATTCAGCTTCGGTTGACAGATTGGAATATCTTGGCTTGGAATGCTTGGTAGGTGGTGGCGGGGGTATCTGTGGGATTAATTGGCTGGGTTGAAAATTACTTGGGAGGTTTTTATGCTTCGTGGTGGTACAATTGGGGTGAGGATGGCGATGTTGGCGATGTTGGCGATAGGGGGTGGCGATCTGGAAATCGGGTTGCCTGGAGAGGGTGATACTTGCCTTCAGCTGTACCACAGGCGTAGTTAATGTCAATAATTGTGAATGAACTGTAACGTAAGCGGCAAGCGAGTCGGCCAGGTAAGCCAGTCGGCCACCTCTGTATCCCATACTAATCCAATATTTATCAAACTCCAATATCTCAGCCACCGTTGGCTCAATTACATTAGAATACTAGCTGAAGCTATATACATTCTTTAAGAAAATATATATTAAAAATATATAGAATAATAGGAGTTATATCGTGTATAATACTAGATTAACATAAATCACCTAAGAATACAGTGTAATAGATATTACTAGAGTATATATTAATGTATATTCTATAATACTTATATACTAAGCTTATATATGCTCTAATATGCCAGGCTTCTTAAACAAAGTTGATAATATGAAGTTTGGCTGTAGTATTACAGCTCAAAAATTGCTGGATTAGTATGGGATACAGAGGTGGTCGACTGGCTTACCTGGCCGACTCGCTTGCCGCTTACGTTACTACATCTTACTAATTAGAAGGATAACTTGGGCAAAAGTTGTTTTTGAGAGAGAATGAAATTTGATCATGTAGAAGAGTTCTTCCTTTCCCTAATGACAATGCTCAGCCACTGGCTAGCTAATGGTAATGTGCGGCGTCGAACGGTTGGATATCTTCAGATAAGGGTTTTCCAAAATCTGCATTAAACATTTTTGAAGTACCTCAGTTACTTCCATGGCTTGCTTTTCGTTCATCAGATGTGACCAGTACATGAGTTGAGCTTCAGTCTTGTCAGGTTGGGCGGTCACAACAACAAGAATATCATTCTAAGACAGCCACGTCAGCATTGTCTGCTAAAGGTTCGTTGCGGCATGCACAAACATGTGTCTCTTCATGCGTCTCTATCGGTCGAAAGGAAAGCCCTCCCGTATCATTGGACAATGCGCTCTCCACTGACAGACATGTATTGAATAGCGGTTGATCCTGGTTTCCTGGTAGCAATAGGCCCTCAAGGTCCACAAGTGAGCAAAATTGATGCGATTTATCCTCGAGAGTGCTTTTTTGGCTCCACTGGAGTGACTCTAAGAAAGAGGACTCTGCGTCCAGAAGATATCGACATGGAAGAACATTGAAGATCGAGCCGATTATGTCCTGAACTCCATCAATCGGTGCATCGCGTCCAGCGATTGTCGTTCCAAAACAGACATCGCTCGATTGACAATATTCTTGCAATACCAGTGCCCATGATAGTTGGAGAACGTTTGTTATCGTCACTTCGTACTTGCTGCAGAAGCGTTGCAGAAAATTGGTGTCAACGAGTGGGTTAACTACGTACTGGAGCTGAGAAGTAGTGCAGTTATCTCGGGAAAGACAACCTATGGAATTTGTCGGGAAAAGACACTGCGAAATCTCGCTGAGCCTCTGTCGCCAATAATCGAGATGTCGATTATTTTCTCTCCAACTATCCAGATATGTCACCCATGAGCGATATGACGGTGCTGGGTTAGGAAAAGGTAATCCACAATATGCCATAGATAGCTCACGGAGAAGGATCAGCACCGAGCTTGCGTCAAGAAACGCGTGGCTGCCTTCAAGTTTGCACAGAACCTGACCGACATCAGACTGGTAGATCGTGAGCCTGTAGGGTGTAACTTGGCTCTGCTGATTGTCTAAGTGTGATTCGCGTAGAGCGGTACTGAGATCATTGGAACTCAGTTGCCCCAAGACCTTAGCTTCTGTGGGGCAATTCCCTAGCACAACATGGTGTTCTGAACCAAAATCTTCCATCAAGATTGTTCGCAGCGC